CACAAACTTCAACTACTTGTCAGTTATTCTCCCCAAAAACGAAAAAAAAAAAAAAATTGGTTGGGGACCTGCTCTCCTTGTTGATAGAGTGCATATAAGGGGGGAGACCATGAAGATGCCAACTGCATCAATTTCACAGGATACAACTAGTACCCCAATTTGTGACAAATTTTGGTAGAATGGACATTACAAAATATGTGGTCTAACAGTTCAAAGCATGTTAAAGAAAAAAAAATGGTTGCTTCAATGTTAGTCTAACTATGGAAAGCAACCTTGAACACTCATATTACATTACTACTTTTTAAGGTATCTAAATATTTATGATAAATTTACACCCACCAGTTTGTTCATAATACACATTTATTTGTTGGTTTATAAATTCCAACAACTTTAATGTTAGTCTAACTATGACGCTTTACATTTGTATTTGCAAAATCTTCCTAAATTTAACATGACAAGCAGAATATATTAACAAATTCAATAATATCATAAAGATATAAAGGACATCTGGTTTGAAATCAACCTTTTCAAACAGAGTTCAGCTAACCAATTTGGCTCCTTATGCCTTGTCGTTGAAACAAAAAGAAGCCACTCACTTTCACAAAAGCCATCTTCCTTTTTTTCTCAGCTAATGAAACCTTGGAAAAAAGCCTTGTTATCCTTTTCAAACGTTTGTCAAACGCAAATTCATGTTGTAGTTAGGATTTAAAGTCCATGATTCCAGAATTAGATAGCATAAATTGGATCCACTTCCGTTTCAGAATCAGAACACCTTACCAAAGATGTTCTAGTCCTTTTGACCTTCTCCTTCTTCCTTTCTCTCCGGAGACGTTTAGATTTCAGAACAAAGTAAGTCATGGTGCCAAGAACAGAAACCGTTACAACAGTCCCTATGACTGTAATAAGGATGGCAGCCCACCTGCTGCGGCGACCAACAACTATATAAGACGCCGCCATGAATGAAACAGAGGTGCAAACAGAGGCCAACCACAGCATCTTATTGATAATTTCTGTAACTCTCCTTTCAGACTTTGTCTCCCCTCTAACAACCGTGATCTGAACCACCACAACAGCCAACGAAACAAAGAGCGAAATAGCATTGGATATGAAGAAGGCCTTGAAGGAGGCAGTGTGCACCACCACAGCCTTGCCAGAATCATCATCACCACCAGGAACAGTGAAGATTGCTGCAAATGCAACCGTCGCGAAAAGCGAGGCCACAACGGTTACTGAATTTGTTGCATTGTGGATGCCACTTTGGTGCAACTTCCGGAGCTCCTTGGCAATGCCACTTACATTCCTGCTTGTTCTCCGGGCTTGTTCGAGCTGAGAGGAGACGTCCATTTTGATCTGTGTCATAGTTTTCCTCAGCTCGTCCCTTGGCTGCTTGAGATCACTGGATTTACATCCACCAAAACGGACAAGGCAGTCTTTTATCTCCCAGGATTCTTCAGACACAGCAAGTCCTTCAGCAATGTCAAGAGCTGTTTTGTGGTCTCTTGATAAGGCATTCACATTGGTCTCAGGATGAAGTAACAGTTCATTCACTATCTGCATAAGTTCATGCCAAGATGGCCACGTTATTATATTGCTAACAGTTTTACATTTTATTCATCAAAAAGTTAATGAGTGAGTTTGTGAGTGAGTTGTGAACTTCGCCTATGTTTTACATAGCCGGTGCCAAGCCAGCATAAACGGGGAGGGTTGTTTGGCCTGCGACAGCCAACGTAAAATAGAGTGGCATCGCCGTACATGGCCACGATGCAATGACGTCTTTGAGACCATGTACGGTTGTATTAAGCATGCAACAATCAATTAAAACTATGTCGCATCTCAATGCATGGACATAATGTAATGACGTCTTGATCCATGTAGCCGACCCCACTAGAGGGAAAAAGGCTCGGTTAAGATTAAGGTAAGTGAGTGAGTTGTACTTTTGTTGATCTATAAATACATGATTGAATGTTGGCATAATTAAGCAAGTTTATATATATGTACCTCTACCCTTTTCTTCCTGGTGGCTATATGCAATGCAGTGTTTCCAAACTTGTTGGGCAACATGACAATGGCAGCATCTACATTAAGAATCATCTTCACCACTTCAGAGCTAGTCCCCTTGACAGCCATATGCAGAGCAGTTTGTCCTTTCTTATCAGTCCTCCGAGCAAGTTGAGGATCCATTGCCAGCAATAGTTTCACCACAGCAACATGCCCTTGCCGACCAGATAAATGCAGGGCGTTCTTCCCATTTGACTTAGCTATCTCCAACAAGCTAGGATCTCTCTTTAGCAACACCTCAACAACATCCGCATAACCCTTCATAGCTGCAGAGACAAGAGGGGTCGCATTTGATTGCCCAAACGTCTTGCTTAACTCCGGATCATGATCTAGAAGCACCTCTACAATGGCTGCAATGCAACAACATTATTCAATTCAATTCACAAGTTCTATAGAATCTAATAAATCAAATGACAAACATAAACAGAAACAAGAAAAATGTTAGATAACCATAAATCTTAATTTAATTTAACCATGACTTCTAATTATCAACTGTTAGCACCTTCGATTTATAGTTTAACATTACACTTTAACCAATTTTCAACGTTGATGGCTCGAAGGGGAATTTACCTTTATGTCCTTGGTTAGCGGCAACATGCAAGGGAGAGAAACCGGCACGGTTCTTGAACGAAAGGGCTTCTTTGGTAGTGTGAGGGAGAAGCTCTTTAACGACGTCGAGGTGTCCCTTATCGGCGGCCGTGAACAGCGGCGTCTCTCCCAACTCATTCACCTCGTTGACGATGGCGGACCTAATCTCCACCACCTCCGCATCAAACTCAGCGCCGCTTAGGGTTCCGGTAATCTGATCATCGATCTCGGCGAGGATTCGTCGAACGGCAGCAATGTCACCGCGCTGAGCGGCGAGGTGGAGCTCGGTGTCATTGTGTCGGCCGGTGACCTGCTTGACGTACTTCTTCCTGGGATCGAAGCGCGAGGCGGAGCCGGAGACGAGGAGGGACTTGGCGGAGTTGGAGAAGACGAGGGAGTTGCTGGAATTGGAGAGGAAGAGGGTTTTAGGGGTGGTGGGGTCGGAATAGGGACAGCGGTCCATGGGGGTGAATAGAGGGTACGTTTACGGTGGTGGTGGGACCGTAGGGTTTGGGTGTAGCCCCATTTGAGGCAACGCCACAACGCGTGACGGTGATTGGCACCATAAGAGGAGACTCGCTTTCAGAGGGGTTCGGGTTCCTGTTGGTTCTGTTTACCTCGCCTACGTAAAACTCGTTCCCCATAACCTCTTCTCTTCTATTTTTCTTTTTCTCCCATTAACTAACTTTTTATTTTATTACTCCTTAATTAATTATTATTGTCATTATTTGAGGTAATACTCAATTTAGTTTTTGCCTTTTAATTTGGTATAGAATAAATTTACACGTACTCTTGTGCACACCTGTATACGTCATTTAGCAACACGAAAAAATATAAATATTAGCATATAAATTTATATTTTTCTGTGCTAATGTTTACATTTTTTCATGTTACTAAATGGTATGTACAATGGTACATCTAGTATTATCGTTTATATAATACAAGTACAATTATAAAATTTTGTTATTTGGTAGAGATAGATTGTTTTGGTAGTTAATTTTTGGTAATTATATGTTCCCAATAACAAAAGGATACACATGAGAGGTTCACTAACAGAGACAACCATCAAAGGTCTTACATTGCATAGATCAATAACAAAAAGTAAACTCAAAAACTTAGAGAATTTAAGAATATATAATTTGAATGTAGTTAAAAAATAGTTAATAATTTTTTATGACTAGTTAATAAAAGTTTAATTAAAAGTTTTTATCCGATATAAATATTTAATCAGAAATTTTTTAATTATAAAAGAAGTAATTAAAAATTTAATAAATTTGCGAGGATCAAGAAAGAAGTTTCATTTTCTCTATATAACATTATTATTTGATTAGTGTTGAGCTATAGTGCGTGTCTCCGGTCTGTATCACCTTGCATGCAGTCATGCAGACGTGCAAGTATGATGGTTTTAAAAATTGGTTCAGACTAATTTTATAATAATTTTAAAAGTTGCCAAAACTTTTTTGTAACTCCAGTTTAAGCCAAATTAAGTTATTAACAAATTCGGCTGACCATATTATTATTATTATTATTAATATTAGAATAATATTACGAAACCAACGTTACAGAGCTATTAGAGAGTCAATAATTAAATTATCATCCAAAATTAATATGAGTTATTATCTATAACTTATATATCCAATATTAAGTTATTATTCAAAATTTATATAAATTAACATCGATAACTATATTGATTCATAATATATTGACTTTCTAATTATTATTATTTTATTAGTCACACGTTGAGTGAGACATAATTTTAACGACATTGGTCGCTACTTTTTTCCATGCCCAAAACTGCATGCTCACTCAAATAAATCACACTCAATACTTTAGAGCTTAGAATGATTATTCTAAAATGTTAGTAAAAGAAGATTTTGTTTAAAATGAATCTGGTTCATGATGAATTAGGTGAAATATTCTAAAAAATAATCAAAATCATAACAAGGAATCTTAAACACAATTTAAAAAATAAGAACCCAACTACGACCACGGCAAGAGGAACAGAGGACACGAAAAATAACAAACCGTTAAGAAGCCAGCCAAAACACCTTCTGGATTTTAAACAAAACTTTGTCTAAATTGGGCCTAGTTTATGATAAATAAGGTAAAATATCTCCAAATAAATAATTAAGAGTAGTTGTGATGTTATAATAAATAATAAAAATAAAATATAAAAAAATTACAACTACTTATTTAAAAATATTCTTCTTGATCCACCATGAATATGAATCTGGTCCATTTAGATTTATCCTCTAAACAAAAGTTTGTTTAGAAAGAATTTTAGGCAAATGACTAATTGTATATATTTTTATAATTGTGTACAGTGTATATAAATAACAACTAAAACAGACAGGGCCGATTAGCGCAGTGGATTAGCGCGTTTGACTTCGGATCAAAAGGTCGTGGGTTCGACTCCCACTGTGATCGAACTTTCCTTATACTCTGACAGAATAATTTCATGAGCCCAGGAATCTCTGTCCCTTTTTTTTAATAGTGACAAAAGTATTATTAAAGAAGAATACTGCATGATCACATATTTTTTTCATTAATATTAAAAAATGTTTATTTAAGGGATAAAAATAAAATAAAAGCGAGTACTATTTATTTCTGGTGCTAGGAATTAAATTAAATGAAGAATAGCACTGAAAAGGCCCATGTCTTATGTTTATTTATGGTAAGCAGGGATCAGAAAGAGAGGAAGATACACTGAGATACAGGGATGTTGATTGTTGAAGTCAACTTCCCTACGATTTATTATATTACTATTTATTAATTGAGAGAAAAAAAATTAATGAAAATGAAAACGCAACACACCGTTGGCGGGTCTATGTCGCTTTAAGCCTTCCCTTCTCTTCTCTTCGCTCCTTTTGCTGTGAACGGCATAGCATGATAACAATCACATAACAACCACCACTGCAAATTGAAAAAATCTCTCTCTCTGTCTCTGTCACACCCTTCTCTCTCTGTCTCTGTCACACCCTTCATACCATCAACAACAACAACAAAGATTGTGTATCATAAATAATAAATTTATAAAATAAAAAATTAAAAATAATAATAAAGCACCCGCTGCACCTTCTCTTCATTCCTAAAGTCTCAAACAACAGATACAAAAAAATAAAAAAAATACTTTTGAAATTTCTTTTTGTGTTTTTTATTTTTATATTCAGTTATTATTCAAATAAAGTTACGAAAGGTAACATACAGTTGGGAGCGAGAGAAATAGAAAAGAAAAGAAAAAAAAGAAGGAAGCATGAAGCAGCTACACAAGCAATCAAGCATGAGTCACCACAGGCGCGACGAAGAGATGCCGGGTTCGCACGGGGCACAACCGTACTCCCCAAAATCGCAGAAGCACAATAGATCCCTCCCCAGATCCATCAACTACCTTCTCCGTGAGCAGCGTCTCATCTTCATCCTCGTCGGAATCCTAATCGGCTCCACCTTCTTCATCATCCAGCCCACCCTCTCCCGCCTTGGTCCACAGGATCCTAAGCCATTCATCCCCGGATCCGGCGGCGTCGTCCACCGCAGCGACGAACTCGTCGTTCCCCGCTCCAGGGTTGGCAGAGTCCCCGTCGGCGTCACCTCTCGCCGCTTGAGAGTCGTCGTCACCGGCGGAGCCGGTTTCGTCGGTAGCCACCTCGTGGACAGGCTCATCGAGCGGGGGAATGACGTCATCGTCATCGATAATTTCTTCACCGGGAGGAAGGAGAATCTGGTGCACTTGTTCGGGAACCATAGGTTCGAGCTCATAAGGCACGATGTCGTTGAACCGATCCTTCTAGAAGTGGATCAGATCTACCACTTGGCTTGCCCTGCTTCGCCGGTGCACTATAAGTACAATCCCGTCAAGACTATCATATCCTTCTTCTAATTTTGTTGTCGATAATTTTGCAGTGATTATTAGTAGATTTAGATTGATGCTAACTGAATGAATGAGATTTTAGCGTTTTTTTGTTATCCTTGATTCTCTGCGTTTGTGAGCTTACAAGACGAATGTGATGGGAACTCTGAACATGCTTGGCCTTGCGAAGCGTATTGGAGCGAGGTTTCTGCTTACTAGTACTAGTGAGGTGTATGGTGATCCACTTGAGCATCCTCAGAAGGAGACTTACTGGGGAAATGTGAATCCAATTGGTGAGTTATTTGCTGACTTGTGGTGTTCTTGAGTATTAATGAATCATCAGTGGTGTATGATAATGTGATTTTGAAACTGTAGGTGAGAGGAGTTGTTATGATGAAGGGAAGCGTACTGCTGAAACCTTAGCCATGGATTATCATCGAGGTGCCGGGGTTGAGGTAACATGCATGCATTT